TGCATACCAAGAGCATGCTTCCTTCCCCCTGAAACTTGAAATGAAACTTGCCACTTTTAGCATCAGCCCCCTGAGCCACCAAACCCTTCCCATTTTACAAAGCCACAGACCAGTTTAGTCTGAGAGTTATTTAGAATGGCTTCCCTGAAATCAAGAACACAGTCTAGTTTCCTGAGGCTTCGTCACAACTGTGTGAGGTCATACACAGTCCATTTTTGGCCAGACACCTTTAGAGTTTTGCTATTTTCCTTCAAACCCTTGGGAAGATGTTCATGTTTGAATTCTGAAAATTGATCCATTACAAACTGAAATTCCTGTTTTCCCTACACATTTTATTTCCATACACAGAGATAAATGCCTCCTTACCAAAGCTATTTACTTAAAAGCCAGGGAGGGTCTAAGTTCCTGCTGCAGTACCTGTATGTGGTACAGGGGAGAAAACAAGGGACAACAGGGGTGGGAAAGGGTCTGGAGCACAAGTCTGGTGAGAAGCAGCTGAGGATCTTCAGCCTGAAGAAAAGTCTCAGGGAAAACCTTATCACTCCCTACAATTATTCAAAGGAGGCTGCAGCCAGGAGAACAAGTGACAGGACCAGAAGTGGCCTCCAGGTGCACCAGGTGAGGTTTAGATTAGATATCAGGAAGAAATTCAAGGGTTGTAAAGCACTGGAACAGGCTACCCAGGGAAATGATGGAATCACTATCTGTAGAAGTGTTCAAAAAATATGTAGAGGTGGCACTTGAGGACATGTTTTAGTGGTGAACACAGTGGTGGTGCTGGGTTCACAGCTGGACTTGATTCTTAGAGGTCTTTTCCAACTTCAGTGATTCTTTGATTCTACAACTTTCCACTAGGAGCAAGTCATGCACCATCACTCATTCATTATCCCCAAGAAGGAAAATCTTTTCAGATCAGAAATGCCTTTGATAACCTTTCAGTCCTCAGAGCCTGTCTGTAGCCCACAACAAGCGACGGGAAATTCCAGCAGCCCGGGGAAACACAGGAAAGCCCAAAGGCAGGACCCCACCCACCGCCTGCACAGCTGGGCTGGTGTGACTGGAGCACAGGGAGGGAGCATGGACAGAGCACACAGAACCCCAGTGCACAGGACAGGGCAAATTCAGAGAATTACAGCCATATAATGTCTGCTCAAACAAACATGAAAAGCAGGCCAGCCACCCACAGCAGGGCACCTGAAGATAAGGATCCCAATCCAAGACTCACCAGAGTCACCAGAGCATGTTTTGCAGCCTGAAGCCCAAGGAAGCAGAGGATGCTCCTTCCCACTGCCTTGAGCCACACGGATGGCTACAGAAACACTCGCTGCCACCACTCACAACTCCCAGAAGATTGCCTTCAAATTAGGGCAATTTCAAAACCTAGAATCTTGAAGAGGAAAGCACTGTCATTTTTGACTACATATCAGCATGTATCCCTCTTCAAGATGTCTTAAATCTCTCTCCTTGAACTAATTATAGGACAGGCCTGTAAATGATGCCTCATGTTGTTTATAGATAATGCTTTCAGATAAGACCAGAAGTAATCAGCCAGTTTCAGTACAGGCTGTTACACCATAAAACCTTCTCTAAGAAACCAGGCTGAAATTTCCACTTGTAAACTCACTCATTAGCTTTCTATTAACTAATGGCTTTTACCTAAAGGTGAAAAGACTGCTACTGTGGTTACATGAGAGGAGGGCATTTAAAGAAATGACAGAAAACTGCCTTGATGTGGCTAAGGAACAGCATGGTGGCATTTTTCAGATCAGGGTACACTCAGGATTTCACAAAGTCATGGAGGAAGGTGCCTCCCACACCCTCCTATAAGCACCAGGTAGCGACAACAATCACTTTGCATAAATCTGTTTTCAAAAGCCAAAGGCATGCAAGGTGGGGAGGGGAGTAAAAAACATACTTGAAAAAATCACCAATGACTAAGCTACCGAGCTTTGCCAGGTGCACTATGAGAAGTTTCCACCTTGGCAGCGGTTTTCGTTCATCTGCTAGGTGATTTTGGCTAATCCTTTCAGGATTACTGCTGCCTTCCCCCGCTGGTGTCAGCCCCACCCCGTATAACCATTCATTCAGTGCCCAGCGCTGGAAGGTACCAGATGAAGGGGAAGAGCTGAAAAAGTAAATCAGTTCCTTCCATTTGTCTTTCCCATTTAACTCACAACAACTTGGGTATCAATGTCACACTCTGGTCACCACACAGGGAGAGCTTTAGTGCTCCAAGAGCATTAAGCCACTGAGAGCAGCATTCAGACCCTTTCTCACCCCATCCCTCCTGCACTGGAAAGGGACAGTTGGAATCCATTTGCTTTAGGACACAAAGCCCTGTTAATCCACTGGGAATGTTTGATTACTTCACTACTTGATTAATTTAATTTTACTGCAGGCTGAGCTAGCATGCTCAATAAATGGCCTTGCACACATGAAGCAAAAGTTGGATGACAAAGATTGTCAAGAAGATCATAATTTTACAGTTTAATCATATGCTTTACAATTTAATCATATTTTAATTGCACCCAATGCCTTAGTTATTTCAGATAGGTTAGCATGTTAAGGAGTTATTAATTAGCATTCAAATTCTTCAGGAAGTGATTATTCATTGCAAAGCCTTACTCAATTATTTTAACTTTGGGGGAAAAAAAAAAGTCCTAAAAAATTCCTCCAGCTGATTTAAATGAACAACAAATTGATCAAATCTTAAATTTGAAAAAAAAATTACAAAGAAAAAACTGTTAGTTTCCAAACTTTCATTTTATTTAAACCAGAAATAGAAAAGAAGGAAAATTAAATAGCTAATAGAAACTGTTATAAGGGCTTATCCACATGGTGCATGAAACATCTTACACCAGCTTAACTGGACAGGAACAGATCTCTCCTTCAGTGTACTAGGAGCATCAAGTTAAGTCAGCTCAAACCAGAAAGAAATGCTATTTCAACTAAACAGCACTGAATTAAGCTAAATTAAGGGTCAGGTTCTCCAGCTAGACCCATCTGAAGCACTCCTGTGATTTGATTCTGCTCCCTTAAAAAAGACCTGCCTTGCTCTCTCTTCATGCACAAGCTTAACTTCAGTAGGGAAGTAACACCAGCATGTGGATGGCAAGGGAGCTCAACATTCTCACACAATTCCAATGCAATTTGGTATTTCAACTCTGATCTCCGTCACTCCCCAGTCCAAAATTCCCAAAGAGGTATTTGTGAGAATCAGACACTGCACAGGGACTCCATGGGAGTAAGCCAGCCAAAGGCAGGGACACAAACAAACCAGCTGTGCTGGTACAACCACCCTCATGTTTTCCTGGAGGCAGAATCAAAACTGCCAGAAAATGACTGACCCTGCAGAAGAATGATACATCTTTCAGGAGCTCTGACTTGTGGGTCATTCCTGTCTGCTGCTACTGTACCTTTAAAAAGGCCTGATTGCTGGCCACACATGCCAAAATTTTCAGCTGTTTCTGAATCAGGAGATTATGATAAGGAGCACCTGTATGTGCAGAGGGAATGGACACAGCCACGGTACCACAGAGCAGCAGCTGCTTGGCCAGACACCTTCAGCATGGCCAGAGACCTTGCTGCTGCCCAAAAGGAGAGGTTGGTGTGGAACCCTGCTCCAGCAGAACCAGTTTGCTCCTGGTATTTTTGAAGCCTTATGTGGAATGGAACATCTGCACAAAGCAGAGAGGGAAGATAAACTCTTGTCACAGGCAGCCACGATGAGAGGACACAGCCTCAAACTGCACCTGAGGAGGTTCAGGCTGGACATCAGGAAGAATTTCTTCACAGAAAGGGTTGTTAAGCATTAGAGTGGGCTGCACAGAGAGGTGGCAGAGTCAGCACCCCTGGAGGTGCTCAAGAAACACCTGGACATGGTGCTCTGGTCAGTGCTCTGGTCTGGCTGACAAAGCAGTGATCAGACAAAGGTTAGGCCATCTCAGATGTCTTCTCCAACCTAAATGATTCTGTGATGGGAGTGACCATCAGTGCCTCAGTTTCATTGACAAGAGATTGGCAGGAAGGAAACAAATATGCTTCCATAAATGCATGCCCTTGCCTGAAACATTAACCCCCTCCTATGGGGAGGGAGGCAAGCACAGGAGTCCAGCAGACAGGCAGGACACACTGTTAATGTCAGGTGGTTTGCACTGAGCATCAGGAAAGGGCTGCTGAACAATTCATAACTAGGGCTTGGCCACAAGGAGAGAGGGAGGAACACAGAAATCCAGGTCTTGGGTCTTGCTCACTGCAGAAAGCCACATTGTGCCAGCAGCAACAGGCAGGAGAACAGCACCAGAACCTTCCAGAACACAGAGTTTCCACAGGGAGAGAGAACCTTGCCTAAACCACTGCTTCCACCATCAGCATTATCTCTGGAGCAACGGGGAGGAGCAATCAGATACTCCTTAAGCTGTGAGATCCTATGAAGATGGCAAAAGGAAGCCCAAACTCCACATTCATTCCCTTCTCCACTCCTGCTCCATTTTGGATTTTTTTCCTGAGAAACTACCTGATTAAAAAGCCTCCTCAAAGAAAAGTGTCCTCTTTTTCTCTTCATTTTCCTTACAGGCTTATTATTTTGTTGGTAGATGTGCAGGTTTGGAGGTATTTGGCAGTTTGTAGGATGGTGCCTACACCTCCTGATAAATACAGCACCCATCAGGTTTCTCCACTTTCTTTGCTCCCAGCTGGCTGCAGAACAAAATCCCTTCCCTAGGCTGAGAGCTAGTCAGTGCAAGGCTTGTGACTCACATCCATCCTACACAGGAAAATACCTTCTTTGTATTGCAAGAGTGTATGCAGATTGCAAACACACAGTGAATCTATATACACAGAGTGTAAATAATATATACCCAGAAATTATATAATAACACAGTGTTTTACATACACAAAGTGAAAGAAAACAGCAAATGAAGCACCAGTAAATAACTTATTCTCTCTTATAAGGAACGCTTCTAGCAACAAAAAATTAAGAGCCTTTCACTCTTTTGCAGAGACACAAGTACCAGCTGAAGTGTCTGGTGAAGCTCCTGACAGGGGCAGATTCCCAAGGGCTGGGAGGCACAAAAATGAAATGGTAAGCTATGTTTTTCCTTGGGCTGTGAAGCAGCTGAAGTTTGTGAGCAGAAGGAATTTCATTTAATTACCAACAGAAAATAATCTCAAGATCAAACTATGACTATAGAGAGGCAATTAACATTGTCTATATGTGAAGGCAAGAGGGAAGTGCAGGTCTGGTGTTGGCTGAACACTGAGAAACCTCAGTTCTACAGACAGGAGATAAAACCCACAGCAAGACTAGATGGCAAAACAAGCCAGGGTTTCTAACCCATCTAGCTTTATATCCAAATTACATTCACAGATGAAGGAGCTGGGAAAGACAGCATAAATTACACCAGAGAAAAGGTGTTTGATCTCTGCTCTAGCATTCTAACAAAGCATTTGACCTTTCTCTCTTCTCTTTCCTTCTCATTAGGGAGACTGCTCTCTGGATGGTTGCCTGCTTACTGCTTTCCTCTCTGCCCAGAGGTAAATATACCATAGTGCACACCTAGGAATTTGCAGAGGCATTTACATGCGAACACACAGGCTGCAAGCAGGATCTTGGAGCAAAACAGAACAAATTCATGCATTGCTTTGCATATATTTCATCACAGTCCAAGGTTTGCAGGTAACCCCCAGATAAACCTCAGTACCCAAAAGAAGTGGTTTTCAAATTTAAGGTGTTTCAGATCCATAAACCTTAACCTATAAAGTTTATCCTGCCACATCCTTAAAAGTACTCCACCATTTTCCTAAAATTAAAGATGCCTTGGAATTTCATCCTTTACAACCCCCAACCATCTTGCATGTGCTTAGTTCTAGCAGAGTTGACTTTCTGACATTATATTAATTACATACCATCTTCCCTATGAAAAGGATAAACTAGTAAGTGTTGTTGAGAGAACTTTATACAAGGAGCAGTTTCCTTATTAATGCTTAAAGTCAGCATCAGTAAGACCTCTGTGTTTGCCCAGAAGTGCCTCACATTTGCCAGATGCTGTGGTGGTTAAAGATGCTACACTTCACCTGTAAAAAAAAGGGGGAACAAAAAAGCCCAGTCCTCATGAGCTTCCCTGCACCACACTTTGATTGCTGAAGCAGGAGTGTTTTCTCATTACAGGAATCTTAGAGATTGGTCAGATTGTCACATTCAGCTTCATCTTAACAGGCTTAAACATTCCAGCAATATTTAAAACACATAAATGAAAAAAAAAAACCCCACAAAATAAACTCATCCCATTTTCCATTCAAGCCTTACAGCTGAAAGTGAAAGCTGTGTGGCAACATTCATCTTCTCCAAGATGGAGAACTACCCCTTCTATGTGCAAAGCTTACTTGGTAGGTAACATGAACACTATTAATCCTGATTTACATGCCTCAGCTGCCACCACAAGGCTGCTTCAGTTTTCTGGCCAGGAAGCTCCCTGCTTCCACATCCCCTGCTGCAACAACAGCCTCAGTGGGAAGCTTACCAACATCACCAGCCTTCAGCACAACTTTACTTGGCTTCTATAAGGACACATCCTCCTTGTCTTACCCCTAGAAGTGTGTTCTCCCCATCTAGAAAACACCTTGTGCAGCTGTGGGCTGATTAAATAGCTCATTACAGCAGATTTCAGTCACCTGCTCTTATCCCAGCCAGCTTCAGCAGTGCCTCCTTTTTTGCCTCCTCCTGCCCTGGTTTTACCAGCTGGAGGCAGCGAGGGCAGGGTGGGCTGAACCCTGCAGGTGTTCACAGAGCCCTCAGGAGCGTTACAAGGTTTGTACATCTTGTCATGGAGGAGAGGGAATGGGCATGGCTCACCTCAGACAGGCTAAATACAGGTGTCCTCCATCTTCAGAAAAATAATCAAGAGCAAATAGGTGCACTTCCAAAACCAGTATCAAATGTGCAGGTGTCCACAGTCAGGAGATAGGACCCACACCCTTTCTCCCTCTTTTGTTCATTTAGAAAATCTGTATTTCCCATTTTTCTGAATAGAGTTACAAGCTGTTTATCATCTTTTCTCCATCCAAGTGCAACACCATGCATTGCAAGCACTCTCTCTCCTAATAGCACCCTGCAGACAGGACATTTCCCACCAGGAAAGTCTCACTCCCTCCTCTTGTGGAGGCTCCTTTCTTCCCCTGCCCTACCAACCCCCTGCAGCAGCCTCAGGCACGTTCATCTCCCGCTGTGGTTTCCTGACCATGCTCAGCCAGAGCCACAATCTGCTTCCACACATGGCCTTGCCTCAGGGACACTGCTGAGCACAGCCCTTCCCCAGGCACAAACAGCCCAGGGAAGGGGCTCAGGCTGCTGTTGTAATTCAGGTTCCCTTTGAGAAGCAAAACCTGGCCAGCAACTGATACATTCTGAAAATTACAGAACCACAGAGTCAATTAGGTTGGAAAAGACCTCTGAGATCGTAAAGTCCAAGCTATGATCAAACACCACCTTGTCAACCAGATCATGGCACTGAGTGCCATGTCCAGTCTTTCCTTAAACCCCTCCAGGGGTGGTGGTTCCTCCACAGGCAGCCCAGGTTCCCAGCTGTTCCCAGGTCTCATCACCCTGTGAAGAATTTTTTGTCATGGCCAAAGCATAATGACCGAATGGCTCAGCTCTCCACACAGCAAGGGGATTCTCCTTCCACCACTAACCAGAAAAAAATCTTGGGATATGTGGTTTTTTTTCAGCTAAAAGTTGACATTGTTGGGCAAATTGGACTGGGATTTTTAGCTGAAAACTCTGAAAACCCAAGAAAAGCAGATGTGTGGTGATAGAGTTATAGCCAAAGACATTTACTTGGCTGTCTGGATCATGCTTTTCTTTCTGCTGTCGTGTCTGGATGAACAGTGTGGCATCAAAGAAAGTTGATGATATGGAAACAGAGGCCTGAGCATGTGACAAGATGAGCCATGGCTGATGTCACTGACTTCAAGGGGAAATTGGGACTCTCTTTGGTCTTTAGCCTGACACATGCAGAGAGCTGATGCAAGCCAGGAACACCAGAATGACCCCATTGCAACAAAGAATATTTATTTCAATATTCAGTCTAATTTGTTGCCCCTTATGCTTCACAGAACTTTGGCCATGGAAGCAGACTGAGTTGTTTCACAGTGATTTTTTTCTTTTCTTTTTGGAGCAGTCACAGATTCATGCTGCTTTTGTTCTGCTCCATGCTGGGAATAACTTCTTCTTCCAAATAAATTAATCTGCATTTTAATTTTTAACATTATTTTATGCAACTGGTTTGGTCAGAGTGTTAATTTAAACCCACATTCTGTGTTGGAAATAGTTGTTCATGCTTTATAAATATATATAAAAACCTTCTTCCACAACCCAGTTTTCCCCTGGAAAATGTAGAACTACAATCTGATAGGAATTGTCCCACATGACAGTAGCAGACTCACCCATTTTTACAAGTTTTAGTAGCTTTCAGATAACTTAGAAGGATTAATAGAAATAATTGCCATCAAAGTTATTAAATGAAGAGTGTGTGTAAGCTGGCTGCCCACCCTGCCTGTGCCCCTGTTTGCCCACCTGCAGGATACCTTCATCCTGGCTCCTGCATGTGCTAGAATTGGTTGGGAAGGTTGGGAATGCCTCTTCCTGATGTCAGGGACACCTACCTAGTCTCTCCAAGGTCTTGGAAAAACCATTTATCTAAAATGGGAGTGACAGAATTTCCTTTCTAGCTGCTGGAGATTAACACCAAAGCATATGAAGGACTGCCAGACAGGGATCAGCAACAGTGCACCAAGCCAGATCTGCAGAAAAATGCCATTTTCTGTCAGACCCTTTGCAAGATTTTTCAGGGGAAGGGGGATAGGGGCTGCCAGCACATTTTTTACAAGTTGTGAATCATGGTCTGATAGCCAGATAATGGGAGTTGTAGGAGACTAAACTCATCTAGGGGTTTTCTCCTGGTCTAGCACTGTTTTCACACTTTCTTTTTTCCAGCCAGACTTCCTACAAAACCAGAAATTGCTTAATCATATCTGCCCACACCCATTCCACTGCATTCCTTTTTCCTCTTGTGAACTGACATATTAATTAAAGTCAAATCAGACACCTAATCCTAAAAACTGAGATCCCAAAAAGCTGGAAGAAAAATCACCAGCTAAGAGGACAAGCAGAAACAAGCTCAAGCAAAAGCCACACTTACAAAGTGGAGGCAACTTGCATGTATCAACATCTGTCCTGCTGCACAGCTGGCTGGGCTCTGAGCACACATGGCCCTCCTGGCTGGAAACAGAAGGATTTGGGAGGGAGAGTGGCAATAAGGATGTGGTGAAGCCAAATTATAGGAAACCTGGTGCCCCATCTCTGCTGCATGCTGATGGAACTGTCTGGGTTTTATTGCAGGCCAGCTGGGCACCACGTGCCATGCATTTGTTGGGGAAACTGTGGTTTTACCTTGCATCACCACCCCTCCTGGAGAGCCAACCCTTTCCAAGTCCATGCTCTACTGGCAGATTGGCACCAATCTGGTGCACTTCTTTAAGAATGGGCAGGATTCACTGGATGGCCAGGACGAAAAATTCCATGGTAGAACCAGTCTTTTTCTGGACCAGATGAAGCATGGCAACCTTTCTTTAAAGATCTCCAATGTCCAGTTACAGGATGATGCTGAATATTCCTGCATTTACAGACAGACTGACAGCCATCAAACAAAGAAATCTACAATTAAACTCAATGTATCAGGTAAGACTTGTTTTAGTACAGAGGAGTGAGTCAAGGGCAAAATTTTTTGTTGATAAGCCATGTGTAGCCATTGAGAGGGGTTACTTCAATTTTTAAAACAATTTTTCACTCAGTTTCATTCTGTTCCTTGCTTTTGTTGGAAGAATATGTGAGAAAGAAAAGTCCTTTGTTAAGCTTCAGCACTTCAGGACTCCTAAAGGCAAGGCACCTGCCTCTTCATCCTCCCTTTGAGGAAACATTAAGGAATAATGTCCCCAGATTTTAGCATTTGGTTATTTATGGGTTTGTACTGTCCTTGATCCACTTTTCCCCAGAGGAACAGCAGAGTTAATTTCACTATTTGCACATGGGTCTGTGAAGCAGAAGTTTAATCTCTGGGTATTGGATCCAAAGTCCAGGTCCCAGACCCATTCAGAGGAATGACAGCCAGCTGCTACTTTCCTTTTCCCTTGCAGCTGGAAGATGTGGATCTGATGGCATGGCTGGACAGATGCAACAAGAATTTTTATTTTTGCTCCTTAGGAAAACGAGTGAGACCATAACACATGTTTGAAAATGCCAAACAACTGAGATAACATGTTTGAACTACCCACAAGCATAGTCACCAGAAGGATGAGGGATTGAGTTAGACCAGCCAAACAACTGAAAAAAAAAGGAAAAAAAATAAGGGATACACATCAAAACAAATCATACGTTTTTAAGGTGTCTTTCATGAATAAGTCAGCTGGAAATTTTCATAATGCTCAACCACATAGATTCACATCTGCTTAAAATAGAAAAAAAAATGTTTTCAAATAATATAAACCTGTTAATATCTTTTTTTAAATAATTCTAGAGAGAAAAATGTTTTCAAAATGTAAAGTGAAATAACATTTGTTAAAAAAAATTTCAAAGCTAAATGTTTTGCAGTTTTCAAAATTAAAAAGAAAAGATGTTTCGAAAATGCAGAATCAAAATGTTTCCATCTAACTTTAGAGAGCAGTAAGGTGTCTTTGATATAATTCTGTGATCATACTTAAACTTTCAGTTTGTTTGACAGGTGTAGAAAAATCCAATAACATTAACCCTTAAATCAATTATCAGAAAAACAGAAAAAGTTCTAGGCCCAAACAATTAACTTTGATTATTGTGGGGTTTTTTCCCAGCTCCACCTAGGATTGAGGAGCCACCTTCCCCTTCTGGTAAGGCAACACTACTTAACTTGCTAAGTGTCTGAGTGATTATCCTGTGCTTTATTTTGTGTTTGCAAGATTGGAAAAATGTGCTGAATAGAGAAAGTCCAATAAATTTGGGGTGCTTGTTCTCTCTCACTAAACCTGGCAAAATACAGCTGTCCCAGACAGGGAAAAATATCTCCACCACTGAGACAGACCTGGACTGCAGGGAGAAGAGTGCTGAGGTGCCAGGACACTCACCAGTATGGGCATTATAAAAATCACTAAAAAACAAGTAACACAGAAGCCACTTGGAAGGAATAAATCACAGGGTCATCAAGGCTGTGAGACACCTGCAAGGTCATCCAGCCCCACCATCAGCACAGCACCACCATCAACACCCTAAAGCATGTCCTCAAATTCCACATCCAGGTGCCTCTTGAGCACTTCCAGGCACAGTGGCTCCACCAACGCCCTGGGCAATTTATTCCAATGCCTATTACCCACTCTTTCAGTGATTTTCTTTTTTTTTTTTTAATATCTGATCTGAATGTCCCCTGACATAATTTAAAGCCATTTCCTCTCATCCTTTCATTTGAGATATGGCAGAAAAGACCAACCCCCACCTAACTACAGCTTCCTCTCAGCTAGTTCTAAAGTTAAACTGCCAGATCAAGAGATCTGGGGGGTCCTTTTGCTAATAAATATTTTTTTAAAATACATGATTAATGACTCCACATAAACTCTTCTGGGAAATTAGGGTAGATTTCATCCAAAGGCAATATTGCAATATAGTGCAGATGTTATTATCTAGGTTTATTCATTACAGAGAAGTAACTACACTGGGGTCATTTGTAAACACTTCTGGAGTGAATTCAATGCAGAAGGGATGTCCAGCTTCTAGGTACCATTGTCATCTTCTCTAAAAATCTTAGCTGCAAGCCAAATGATTCTTATTAGTGCTACAAAACCTTAAATTGGAATTAAACCTATAAAACTTTGTCATATAAAATCAACAGCTGCATTTTTTATTTTACTCAGTGGGGCTGAAAGATAAGATCTTTTACATAGCAATTATTATATTACATTTAACACGATAAGTTCAGCCACACTATGACATTACAGACAGTTTAGGCTGCAATAAACTCAAATAGAAACTGTGAAAGAGAAATGTTGTAATGTTTTATCTCATGATCACACAGAACTAAAAAACACCCAAACAACAGTTCTTGTGCCTGATAAGCACAAAAAATACAGGAAAAATACAGTCTTAGACCTAAGATAGTCTAGCTGGCCAAAAGGTCTTTAAAAAAACATGAAGTTAAATTCAAGATGGTATTATGTGCTTTCACATTACTTTATAAAAGCAAATAGAACAGGAATTAAAATATCTCCAGCTGTCACCTTCCACAAGAAATCAGAAACTATTGAGGATCAAACTTCTTAATGCAGCATGGAAGATTCTCAAAACCAAATGTAAGTGGGTTATATTTAAATGAGATTGTTTTATATATGTTTGATTCAGCCTTCCTGACAACAGCCCCTGAATATAAACTATTTCTTGTAATGAAAATACATTTTTATTGAGGAAAAAACAAATAAATTATTGGGACAAAAGGGTAGTGTTTCACTTTGCTATAGGAGTACAAACTGAACCACACACCTTTGACACCTGATGGTTCTTGTACTGCAGGATTTTGTGGGACTTGGGGATGAGGAAAGAACAAAAGCCCAACCTTTTAAGTGTAATTTTTTTTACGAAAAGGAAAAGTATATTTCCTGTTTTCAACTTATTTTAAATAAAATCATCAGCCACAGCTCCCCCCCCTTGTTTTTTTTTCCAGCAATTTCTTAAGAGAGAAAGGGAATCTGTTTTATATTAGCTGTTATTTCAGAAGGGACTTAGGAAAATTAAAAAATGACATGCTGAGAACAAAGGCATTATATACAGAAACAGTTCTCACATTTCAGAGTCAACCAGATCAACTAATACTATTTTTATGTAAAACAGAAACAATTTTCATCTGTTTCACTATGGCTACATATCTATTTGTTTGCTGCATGGATTATTTTTCCCAACTACTTTAAAGAGCCAAATTTTACTTTCACTCTGAGTGTCTTACAAGACTCCCTCCGACTCAATAAAACCAGTTTAACACTTTCTCTGGGAAAAATGAAAGGGTTGGGCCTGGAAGAAGACACAAAAGGCCAGGAGGCTTGTTGTTACAACCCTACATTTATTTCAAAGCATGACAGGGGACTACCTGATGTTTACTTGCTCTCTACACATCAGTATCACAAACTCCTTCCAGGAACTGGGGCAAGCTCCCTGCTCGAGACAAATTAACTACAGTGAGCTACTGATAGCTGATACCACAATAGGAACAGTTCTCAGGTATATAAAAACCAATATACATCCTGTTCTTCACAGAGAGGGACTTGGAACACTTACAGAAAAAATATTCTCTTCTTTTTAAGTCAGGGGTTGAAAATCTCTTTTCACTTGTGTGCTACATCCAGCACAGGTTGAAGGTAACACCCGTGCCAAGGGTAATTTGTGTCCTGTGTCCATGCTGTGGGTTTTGTACCAACAGAGGCACGCAGTGCTGCCACCAACTGAAGTGTGTCACCTACATTCTTTAATATTTACTACCATTATCTATGGAATCTTAATCAAAGCATCTGCCTCAGGCCCTGAGTAGGAAGAATGAAAATGTATTTTCATCCTAAAATCATGGAATGGCTTGGGTTGGAAGGCATCTCAAAGATCACCCAGTTCCCACCCCCTGCCATGGGCAGGGACAGCTCCCAGTAAACAGCTGGCTGGTTGTTGCTTTTCTGTCAGGATTTTAAACAAGGATTCTCAGTCATCCAGAAAAGTTGCATTCATTGTTGCTGAGTTTCTGCACCTCTTCTGTGGAAAAGAAAAAGTGATTTGCCTCTGTACCTTTAGACTCTTTTGTCTGGACTCTGTACAGACACACAAAATGAGAATTTTGAAAATGAGCCCAAATCCATTGTTTTAAAAACAATCTTCCACCGATGCATTCATGTAAAATGTGTCAGGCAAACTTCTAATACACTTTCTTGTCAAGCCATCACTTACATGCTGACCTTCTCTTTGTTAATTTTTCAGAGCAGAATCAGATTCCCTCCGGAAGCCCCACGGATGTGCCATGTCTGGCTGTGCTTCCCCTCTCTTTCCTGCTCCTGCTCCCCCTGTGGCTTTGGCACTTGTAACAGGGGAAGTCAGCTTTGTCTTTGGGAATTTTTCCTCACCAGAGGATGTTTCTGGGCAGAACAGGTCTGTGGGGTCAGTGTGACACCTGCTCCAGAGCCACGGGAAGGAAGCACCGAGAGCTGGGAACAGACCAAGCAGTAGGTGTTTGCATCCCACGTTCTGCTGTTCCACAAAACCAAGGGCAGCAAAACTCTGAGGTGGCAAGTCTGCTATTGCATTTGTTTCTCAGAGTCCAGTTTTACTGCTGTCAGGATATACATTTCATTTTGGAATTGTGTGGGTTTGCTTTAATGACAGGATAAAAGGCTCACAAAACTCCGGGATCAGATTATAGTTGATCCCAGTGAGATCTTTTACCTCTCATCTGCTGTCCTTCAAGACGACTGAAAGGAAGAGTGGGGGTAACTCTCCTCTGTGTCAGACAAAAAGTGGAAGTAGGAAGATACTCACATTTTGTGAAATGTAAGGATGGAAACCTTGTGAAACTTGATTCTGTGGAACTTCAGCTTCTGTTTTCACTCCTAAGCGTCATGGGCTATGAGTAAGAGCCCCTTTTTTCCACAAGAAATGTAGTATTTCTTTAGCAGGAGGGTGAAACTCACAGAGAAAGAGGGTAGAAGTTCATAAAATATCCACATAGAGGAAGGAAGTGATGTATTACTACAAAATCCACTGCTAAAAAAGCCAAAAAATTCAGAAGACTGAATTCAGTATTATCATTTTTGTCATGAAATATGGCAAAGCTGGATTCTTACGCTGGAACTGTGCAATGAGAAGTCGTTACTGTGACAATGTTCTTCTTTAAAAGCAGTGCCTTTGGAGGGGAAAAAAAATATTTAAAAACTCATCAAAGTAATTGTAACTGATACCTATGCAAACTAAATGGGTTTATTTCTGGAAAAGTTCCATTCAGGTACCAGAGGTGTCCTGTGCAAATCGAAAGGATCCCGTATACAAACAATATCCAGGAAGTGTAGAAGTTTTTTTCAGGCCAGAACTGCAACTACCCTGCTTCACAACTATAAAAGCATCCAGAGAACAGAACTGGTGACTGAACACACCTCTCCTGCTGAGCCCTCAGGCAGCAGGAATGACTCACGAGGATGCACAGTGAGTCACGTTCATTTGGAACACTTGAGCCTCTTTTTTCCCAATGAAGAGACAAGATTGCAATGGCAAGGAAGGGACAGAATAAATCAGAGTTTAAAATGGACGTAAAGGAGACAGTTACCTTTGAATTTCTTAACTAAAGGCCTTTTCCCCATGGTGGGGAAGAGAAACAAAATCCCCCACACAGCCTGTGCTGGTGCTGCAGTGAAGCTCAGCTGATATTTGGCTACCCAGCAACAGAGCAGCTCAGTGGAACAGCTGGGGTCCAGCTGCAGAGAGAGATTTGACTGTAAGAATTGTACATACTGTGACTGTCTTTTTGTGTCCCGTCCTCCAAATGTTTGTCTCAGATTTTGTGTCTTTTTCAAGATACAATTTGATCACAAATAAAACCTGAAATAAAACAAAAAACCCTGATGAGAGCAATTGCTTGGTCTATAAGAGTTCTTTATTTGTATTCAGGTTGTTCCTACAGTTAGAGAGACTCAGAAGGTTTAAAAGGTAACATCTGTGTAGTTTTGCTGGCCCTAAGAGTCTGGACTGCCTGCCCTCATTTCAAGGACTCTATGACTTCTAAAAATCTACTAGCCACTTAAGCAGCCCAGCATTTCTCAGGAAGTGCAGAATCCCTGAACAGCTGAGGCTGAAAAAGATCAACAAATCCGACACTTAACTCAGCACTGCCAAGTCCACCATTAAATCATGTCCCTCAGAGCCGCATTTACACATCTTTTAAATCCTCCCAGGGGCAGCAGTTCAGTTAAAGAATCTCAAAATGTTGGTGCCAGCTGTGTGTGAGGACACAGGCCCTGACACGTGTCCAGACACAGCTCTGATGGATCAGCAGGCAGACACAGACTAGAGATAAATTCCCTTGCCAGCAGTGCCCCTGTCCAGAAGGCTTCCAGGAAAAAAACCAGTCTGTCAGGAGCAAGGATTTCAAACCATATCTCTTTTATAAGCTAAAGCCCATGTTTGGTGTCAGGCTTGGAAACAAACAAGGAGCCAGCACATTTTAGGAGCAAACTTTGCTCTTTGCAAAGGGTGCCACAAGGATGTCGAAACTGCACATCCTGAAATAATTTGCTGTAGCTGTGCTAATTGCATTCCCACATAGTGCTGTATGTAGCAACAGTCCGGATGGGAATTATAAAATTCCATAATCATAGCACTGACGGCCACATCAAAAAAGACAATGTCACATCTTTCAGCCAATGCAGGTAGATTTTTTTTTTTTGGAGGTGCAGGTGTAACTCGGCTGTCTTCTTCCTTTAACAATATACTCCCCTCCTTTCCTACCTCTTCTCCTTTCCCTTTAGCATTTTCCTTTTCCTTAAACCTTTTCTCTCAGCTTTTCTTTTCTAAACCATGGTCAGATTTTGGGTTTATATCTCATCCCAGGTGCCTTCCAGTTCCACTGTACATAAGACATCGAAAACCTCTCCCCCAATTCCTCCCTTTCCCCTCCCCACATCAGTCACTCAGCTCTGCCTTCCATCCCTTCTAGATCAACAGGCACTGTGTGAATGCTGATTTAGCCTTTACTAATTACATACTAAGGACAGCAGTTTTCTCTACTTTTACATGGAATTAAAAAGGTGTTTCCATACTTTCTGAGTACAGAAAGATATTTGACAAGAGTCACAAAAGAAAGTTGAAACAGCAAATCAAACAAACAAAAATCCCCCAACCAAAACAAAAATATTCCCACACCTAGTTTATAATAACTTTTTCTCTTCTTTTTTTTTTTTCTAAATTCTTTTTCTGTCTCACCCTTTGAGAAGAAAGGACTATCAGAAATGTATCACTACACACATTACACTCAGGATGTGGCATAAGAACACAGACCAAGCAGTTCCTGTTTCCTTAAGAGAAATAATTTTAAGAATAAGGATCTGGAACCAATAAATGAAGACAAAAGATAGGAGGAGAAGGAGGTTCATGGCATTTTCCAAATGATTACACTTACTGATGCCAATCTTTTTTTGCCTGCCAAAAATTGCTGTGCTGGGCTTCTTGGCCAGAGATGGGAAAGAGAGACTGAGGGCACGAGTGGTGCAAGGGCAGTAGCAAGAAGTGAGCTGCAAGGACCCAGAGGAGCCCTGGCAGGGCTGTGCTCAGTGCTGAAGGACAGAAGCAACCCCAAGAGCCACCTGCAGCAGCCTTCCCCAGCCTCCAGTCCTCCTCCAAGTAATTTCCCCAGGATACTGGAGGATGCTGCTTTTCACCTGCCCTGCACCATTGGCTTCCCTGTCCACCAGGTACTGATAGGTCACTGAAAATGTGATGTAAATAGGTTTGTAATGTAAACTGTTATGTAAAAAGGTTATGTAAATTGCAAAACCAAATATGCAAATAGTCTTAACATTGCATTTAAGGAATCCAGAGTGGTAGCACAGGGTCCTTCTTGTGCTCCCAGCCCAGATGCACTTTTATTGCTGGAATAAAGAGAGAACTTCTGCTGCCTTTTTTTCACAGTAGCCTCCAACAAAGTAGAAGAAAGCTAAAACATAAGGGAATCCATTTCAGTAACACCTGCATGGCTAAAGAACCTTTCAATTTCAGCCCCAAACCAGAATCTTTTACAGGAATGCCTTTAAGGCACAGAAGGGAGGCAAACTTCCCAATTGCTTTAAACCCAGAGGACACAAATGCAGAAATCTCAGTGGCAGCATTTTCCCAATGACAAACCATACAAATCCCTTTTGATGCAGGCAGCTCAAAGCATTTTTATAAATTTAGGGAGCTCCCCAACAGCATCCCTGCTCAGTGCTGGAAAAGAGTCATTCTTGATTTAGGGGAGAAAGCTGAAGCAGTGCAATTTTTTCCAGCTGACATTGTTGACAGATCAAAAACCTGAGTCAAGATTCCTCACTTTGTTTTGGGTTTGTTTTGTGCCAACAGCAGAAGAAACATCCTCTTGTACTGCTTTACACAGTATTGGGAATTTATTCTATCAGCATCATAATTTCTTGGTCATAAACTGAAAAATATTAGAAGTCAAATCATTTAAATGGACTAATATATTCATTCTCGGAGTGTATTTTGAAAATAAAACCCTTGTAATAAATGCACAAGAACACAGACACATCCAGTGTATTGCATATGGAACTAAAAGGTTTCAGTAACAGGCCCAGTATAAACACATGAGATAGATTATATGCTATTTAATTTCTACCAACTTTACCCCCAAAAAAATTGTAGCTGCTAATAAAATTTTTATTATAATAAAATTAAATATAATAAAATTATATTTTTATAGCTGCTGTGAAAAGTTACTGAAAAAAATGGTGTTAATAGATTATCACCTGTAAATCAAGCCCATTAAAGTTGGCTTGTAAAGCTATGATACAAATAAGACTCTGATGCTTTCATATTTTTTAAAATGCTTCACATGGCACAAACTTTATATACTTGGGTCTGCGCTGTTGTTGGGAAAATAACATTTATTTTGTTGTTGTATCATCCATCTGTTTTTGAATTTAATCATTGCTGTGATTTCTGTGTGCTGCTCTGTGCTGTGTGAGCACCTCCACTGACAAGTGTGAGTTATGTGATTGCAGAAGGGCCTGGATGACCTCTAAATGTTGTTTACAACTCTCCTTTTTTACCACTCAGATTTGCAGCAGCACTTAGGATGTTTAAATGGCCCTGTTTGTTATATTTTCCCAGAGCTGTACTTCATGGCATTCCCAGTGGTTATCTACAACCACCTTTCCAATTTCCTGCAAGTGAAGGTTTGAGTGACCAGCAGACCTTGAGCTGTCCTTCCTTGGCTGGGTGATGACACTGGAAGTGTCTTGTCTTGAAAGTTCCCTCACTGTGAAAATGAGAGGAGCACTCGGTTCTTGTGTACTCCAGAATTTCACTGGGAATGAGAGGGAATCAAGGATATTTGAAAACCAAGGAGCACAAAAACAATTCACACATTGAAAGAGTAATCTCCACTTGTCTCACTTGCAGTACCTTGGTGGCCCACACCTACATATTCTATAAGGCAGGAGCATATGGCTGACAATGTGTTACATTAAAGAAATTTTTAAGAGGTCTTTGGACATTACTATTGCCAAAGAATGACTGTAAAAGAGTATTTTTTTTTCCCAAAATTTGGCACTGTAACTGGTAAGAGGCAAAAAGGAGTTATTTGATCATGCTTTTCTAAATTTACAGCGAGGCCAGATTAACTGGTTAATGCTTTCCACTGTCAGCTCCCTTTAGTTTCATGTGGTGTGGGAGAAATGGCCCATAGAGAACATCAGCAAGAAATTAATGTGGACACATTTAATGTAGAATCATAAAATCTTACAATGGTTTGGGTTGGAAGGGGCCTTAAAGATCACCCAGTTCCAACTCCCTGCCATGGGCAGGGACACCTTCCACTAGACTGGAATTTTCACCATTAATTCAGCTAAGCCAGAGGGCAATCATTCCATAGCCTGGCACTCAAAGTTAAACAAATAGCACTGAAAAATACTGAAAACAAGCTAAAAAGGTGATTTTTAATTTAATTTAATTTTTTTAATTTAATTTACATTTTTAATTCTATTTATTTTTTAAAAAAATTTAAAATAATTTAAATTATTTTTAAATATGCAGCAGGAAATCACATTGCTATCAGTGCCATAATTTTCACTGCAACTTCTGTTTCAGCTTTTGGGACAGTCCAAGTTTAGCCCCCTCTCTTCCCCTCTTTCTGCAGAGATGTTGGCCACCACTGGAATTACCCTGGAGAAAATAATCAGCTCCTTAATTCTCCTGAGGGCTAAGGCTCACCCATTCAATAAACAAGCTTCCCCTCGGGCATCTGAAGCCCCAGGAAGAAGAAAACCAGGTCAAACAAAAGACTCAAGCCCTGAACTGCAGGCAATTCTTAATTATTTACAGGTGGAAGATTATCCAAGTTCCCACTCTGAAAAGAATTATAAGTAAGTGCATATTCACACGTATAAAATACTGCTAGCCTGCAAAGCCACAGACACTTCAAGAAGCAGTGTGTTTCCTTCCAGGGATATTTCTAGGCCTGATAAAAATCATTCCTGACAAACCTTCATTTTCATTCATGTTGACCATAACACCACTAGTGTTTAAATAAAAGCAAAACAAGAAAACAAAAGAAAACAAAAGAAACATCATCAAAAAACCCCAAACCTCACTGTGTACCTTTATGACTTTATACTACACATTTCTGCATTTTTTTTCCGAGATAGTTTTATCACAGGAAGGGGCTAGAGCTTAACTGATGTGTATTTGCTACTATATTTTCAGGGGGATAAAATAACTATGCTGAAGAAATTAATCTTAACAGCGCAGTAGAACAAATGCATTCATTGCAATGGAAATGAATGATGACCT